TATCCCCAGCAGCTTTAGGAAGCAGTCAAATTTAAGGCAGGAGATAACTGGTCTCATTCTACCCTCCGCTTTTCATTCGAGCCACAGAAAGTCCAAGCCAGAGCTGCCTTTCTGTGGATGGTATAACATTTGTCAATATTAAATTTAATTTGTGCCAAGAGCAGCTCGCTAACAGTGAGAACACAAAGCTTGCTGAACTTTATTTCACCTGTGTGCTCAGTACACCCAGCATTAGCAAACCTAATGAATTCAGCGACATTATCCTACCCACATCTAGGTCAGCTCTGTTGATTAAAAATGTTGTGGGTTTAAGGACTGACCCTATGAAAGCTCACTTAATTCTTTCCTTGGTCCTCTACTTTATAATTTAACTATTTCATCACCGATTCTGTCTTCTGTACTTTTAAATGAAAAAATGTATTTTTACCCAATTGCAATCCAAAATGTCAATATTAAGAGATCAACAACAGACATTTATTGAGCGCCTACTGTATGCAAGGCACTATACTAGGCTATGAAGCTCCCTCAAGGAGCTTACAATGTAATTAGATTAACAGGGCATATACATACAAAGACAAAAAGACAATCCAAGGTAGCATGTAATATTAGGGCACTGAGTAGAAACAAACAGGACTTCAGCCATTTTTGCATTTCTATAGTGGCTCAATATCCTGAACATATGGGAGAGAGCTAGAGGGGTGGGCTACTCCTGTTCATTTTTAAGCCTTGTAGGCACTCTCTCACTTCTTCCCATTCCAAGCTGTCTCTGGCATGTGCTAGAGCCTACGCAATTGCTCATTCCCTGCCCCCTCCCACCCCAACACCTTATTATTATAGTTCTTTTTGAAGTGGCCTTCTGATAGGGTGATCAGCTGTCCTGGTTTTTTGGCACTGTACTGGTTTTAGCACTAAAAGTCATTTGTCTTGGAAATCCACTCTCCCCCAAATACCAAAACCCGTTGCCATCCAGTCAGTTCAGACTTATGATGACCCCACGTGTTACAGAGTAGAATTGCTCCACAGGGTTTTCTTGGCTACAGTCTTAATGGAAGCAGATTGCCAGGTTTTTCTTTTGCAGCACTGTTGGGTGGGTCCCAACTGCCGACCTTTAAGTTAGTATTTGAACACTATTTCTGCCACCTGGGACCTCTCCCTCCCCCCAGTCCCAGGCAAACCAGAATGGTACACTTGAAGTACCTTGCTCTGTAGCCAGTCATATTCCTCCCATCTACCATGGTTTTTGCTCGGGTAGGACCTACCCAAATCTGTTCCTTAGATAGTTCTCTAGTTTAAAAACCTACAAGGAAGACCTTAACAGCCCCTAAACACTGCTGGTTTAAGAGCATACAACAGACAAAAGAAGACAATCAGGGGAGAATGATGGCAGAGAGTCTGAATGAGGTTCAAGAGAGAAGCAGTCAAGATGGAATAAATAACTGGGTCAGGTATGAAATACATGTGTTTTAACTTCTGCAGAGAAAGAAAACGAACACAGAGCCTTCTCTTAGAGGAGGTCTATTTAACGACTTGGATTATTACCTGGCGTAATCTAGAGTATATATTTGAAGGGTCACTCCTACACAAGGGCAGATATTTGGGCAGGTATTAAATGGGTATATATAAGTTTAAATAGCGCTGTCTGAATCCTAACAGTTTTAACTTTTTCCTTATACTTTTACTTAGCCTTTACTTAGCTTCTAAATCAATAATTTTTTGAGGGGAGTTATTTCAAAATGAGGTTTTTCCTTACATTCTAATGTAATTGAAATAAGTCAGTAATGGAGAGAACTTCAGGAAACAAAGGGAATCTGTCTTGAGAGGTGTTGTTTTGAATATAGTACACAAATCTGGTTGTAACCTAAGGATTCCAAGAGACAGCACAAATTTCTCTTTTAGGCATAGCGATTTGTGTTTTGCTTTCGTTTATTTATTTATTTTAAAGAAAAAGGCTAACTCTGAAATCTGAGGACATTGGAAGTTCCCAAATCGCTTGGCTTTATGTCAAGCCCTTAGGAGTACATCCAGGGTAGTGAAGCACAGGGACTTAGCTGCCAACACCCATTAACCTTAATGGAAATCACACAGCAAAGTCCCCACGGAGCACACTGAATATTTACCTCCTAATGTTCTTTTAATGTACGTTTTCTTGGGTGAATATTTACTGCAGAATATTAAATGTGAGATCCCTCTTTTTATGGGCCATTTGAAGTGATTGATTTTGTTTGTGCATTCCTGTATCTTTCCCCTTAATGGCTGTCTATCGTAATGGTCTCTGCCAAATGTTCTCACGTTGAAACAACAGAAGCCATGGATCGGCCAGCTGCGGCATTGGATTACTGTGGTCTTAAAAGCTAGGAGAAAGCTGATGACACAGCTGGGGAGAGAAGAAAAAAGTATGAAACATAATGAGTATGACTTAGGTTTCAAACACAATATGGACATTGAAGTCACTGAGGTCTGTAAACATGGTTTTGTAGTCATCTTTTATATCGGAGTTTGCATTTAATGGTATTGAGTGGTGTTAAGACTGACAGTCATGAAATGATAGCAGCAAGACAAGAATTCAACTGCCCACAACCAGATCCATCAGCACAATCTATCAGAATTTTAGGCATTAAAAAAATTGCTGTAACCACTGCCTAAGTGATAATTTCTTGCACTTACTTCACTGTGTTTTTTTGTTTTTTAATATGAACTTAACCTATCCTAGCTACGCGTAGATTTAAAACATTTCCCGGTGAAGCCAGGAATTTCAGAATTTGGTTACCTTTAACTCTTTTGAGTATTTGTGAAGGAGGAGTCACAAAAAAGATGACTCTATTAGGATGGTCTTCTTTTTTTTCTTTAAGCTAAAACTTGAAGATACACAGACATTTGAGCTATTAGTAAACTAGGTAATATAGTTACATCCTTAGATGTCCCAACTATGCCTTTGCAAATTTTACAAATATAAACATTGTCAAAGGACCATTTACATCTGAGCAACATAATCTCTTCTGGTGATGGTAAAGTTGGCCTATAAGTCAGTTGGATAAAATTCACATCATTTTTCATAAGTTCCTAAAGCATTATATGCTAACCAAGAGATTGTGTTGGAATAAGTCTATGGTCCCTTTAAAAACTATGAGAGCATCTAAAGACCACATTCCACTACGTTTTGGACAGACATTTCAATTCTACTGGCTTTGTACAGCTCAAGCCACACCACAGTAACATCAGGTTTGTTTTTACTTTGTGAATGTCTGAACTTTGTTTGCATCTCAACAATAAGACTCCTTATAATCAATGGTACTTCCCTCTCAACCTCCCACCCCCCGCCCCGTAGTTAGGGCAAGGGAATGGAATCTTAGTACTAATTAAGGAAAGGGAAAGGAAGTGGTAATATGAGAAATTTTTAATCATAAGCCAGATCGTGTTCTGTTAAACAGTATAGGTCTACATACATATATTTGCTGGTCCCTTCAAATCTAGCATTAGAGAAACTAATACCTTCTAGGCCACATGTAAAGAAAACACTGGTATACTTTTTCAAGAACCAATTTTGAATAGTACTTGTTTAAATGAAAATCTTTAATACTAATTGATCTTGGCTCTGAATACAAGAAGTCCTTCATACTCATCTAGACTAGGGAATGGCAGTGAATACAATCTAAGATTTGCAGTGAGTTTGAATAGTTCATAGGACAAGTGAATTGTGTGTTAGAAAACCTCCTTGAATTCTCTTCTCCTTATGGAGCTGCAGTTCCTCATTCTTGTCACTAGGGAACAACATGGAAGTAGGTCTTGTCCTTTCTTTCTTTTTTGTTTTGGTGGTGGTTGGCGGGGAGGGGGTGGTGCAAGAAGCACCGGGGAAGCAGGTGGTAGATTTTAGCCAATAGGGACCAGGTTTCTAACCGCAAGAGGGGGATAGGTAGTAGGGAAATATAAAAGGCTCCTCAAAATAATGGCCTGCTAATGTTGGAATCCATCATTCCAAGTGCAAAGTCCTCAAGAGGTCAATAAGAGGCTCATAGAATTTTAGATTTGGACTAAACTTAAGAGGTCACTGACCTCATTCTGTGCTAGGAAATTAGGGTTTAAGAAAGTAAAGTGACTTACATCAATTATCACTAAAGAAAACTATCTTTAAGTTTCTCTTATTAGCATTTTTTTTAATAACACAGTTTCTGGTTTTAAATTTTGTCATTTTGGAAGCACTTCTGCACATCAAAAAATGTCATAGCTATTCTTGCTTTAAAGGAGCAAATCTAGAAGTCAAGGGGTTCAAAAAATGCAACACAACATTTCCAAACCAAATACCAATTACATGCTAACAATGAGCATTGTGAACATAGTAACTCATCAACTCAGTTGCAGGCTTTCCCAATCATCATTCAGGATTAAAGGAGTAAGAAGCATAAATTACCAAATAATCATAATCCACAAAAATACTGGCCTACAGTGCACTAAAAAACTCAATAAATATTGGACATTTGCTTTATGAAAGTCAGTGGAGATGTGCTCTTCAGAAATCATGTCCATACTTTTAAGTGGCTTTTTACAAATCACACATACAGACTCCAACAGATGACAAAGATTATAGATCAGAATAGGATACAACTTGATAGAAAAATGTCTTTTGATGTGGGATTTCTATAAAGGAATGCAACTTATATTGTTGAGTTGCTCATGTTGCAGTTTTGAAGGCAATACTTAAAGTGATCCAAAATGTTTTTAGCCTTGGCAGCATCAGTAAAATTACTGTTAAGCTCCTACGGTAACCCCTTTGAAAGGGACAAAATTCATTAGGATGTGTTCATTCTGGAAAATTTCCTTAAAAACCAACTGCACTGCTCTGTAGTGACACCTGGTAGGCATCTGTCCACGGTACTTCCTGAGGAGGGAAGCTATTTCCTGCTACAAATTCTGTTCCCCTTTCCTGCCTGGTGACTTCAGGAAGTTCAGCGCCCTGGTGTCTGATATAGTGGGTACTTGGGATTATTGTCTGGCTGGTTCATTCCTCAGAACACAGGTTTAGTCTCAGGATGATTTATAGCAAGTGATTCTGGTTTCCAGTCAGGTTGAAAAAAGTGAATATTGAATGTCCGTGCCCAGTTCTTGAACACTCGCTTCTCTGTGATGAAGCGGTGATGACTGCCCTTCCTTCCACGCTCATGTGAAAGGTACATCGTACATTCATCAGGTCCAAAAGGTTCGTAATAATGATAAGGTACTGAAGGGTGATTGGGATCCCTGTGGGCAGAAAAGGAGATAAGTGATTAAAGAAAACAAAACAAAACAAAAATCCCTCGGACTGGTTAAGGCAAGATGTTATCTTTAAAAAACTGATCAGCACAAATCCTATTTTCTAGTTAAATGAATTTCAGCAAATGATTTTTCTAATGTTTAAACAATAAGCAAGTGGAGAGGTTTTGAGTTGCCTAAATAAATGCAGTGACCATCATTATCAAATAAAAAGATTACAAGTTTGCTGTAGGGTAGTTAGTTTCCCCAGATTTGAAACTACATTTCATGAAGACCCAACTTAGTTCTTGTTTCCAAACTTACCGGAAGCAGCTACAGAGTTATTTACGAAACTTAAAACAGATCATTTATGCCCCATCCCACAACCCCCCCAACCCCCACCACACACACAAAAAGTCACTGCCGTTGAGTCGGTTCTGACTCATAGTGACCCTATAGGACAGAATAGAACTGCTCCATAGAGTTTCCAAGGCTGTAAATCTTTATGGAAGCAGACTACCACATCTTTCTCCCAAGGATTGGCTGATGGGTTTGAACCGCCAACCTCTTGGTTAGCAGCCAAGTGCTTTAACAACTGCACCACCAGGGCTCTTCACAACCCCCCAAGCCATCTAGAGAATTCCTGATATACTAAAAGCATGTTCTAAAGGGCATCACACGATCAGCGCCTCTCCAGAATCTTGTAACCCAACTGGCCGTGTCCACTATGCTACAGACACACTGGCTTTTCTGGTCATCCACTCTCCCAAGCTCTTTCCTACCACAAGGCATTTGCAGCTGAGAGCAGTCACCTGCCTGGAACATTCTTCCTCCATTATATCCTCATGGCTCACTCCTCTCACCATTTGGATATCAACTGTCACTGCCTCTGACAGGCCTCACCTGATGCCTACCCTCTTTACTGCATCTTACTCTGATTTATTTTCTTTACATTGTCAATCACTCTGAAATTGCTCCTGTTGTTTGTTTATTGATTGTCTGTTCATGAGGCTGGGGCTTTGTCTTGTTCCTAGAACAGTGCCTGGTAGTTGCTCAATAATTAAATTTTGAATTTCTGTTATTGAGAGAAATTTATATGGAGTTAGCAAGTTAGTAGCAAGCCTCTTAAACAATTTCTCCTTTAAGTATGGAAAGTGGATGATCCTACTTTGACCCCACAGTAGAAAAAAGAAGACTTCAAACAGATGCCACAATTTTCCTCTACTTGCTCTAGATAGATTATGTACTAGTGTAAAAATCTTGTCTCTAAATAAATTCTAAATCCTCAGTCCCTATTGTGTAGCCTGGCAGTCCCCGAGTATCTCTAACTCTATATCCCCATCTCATCCACAAACCAAAAACACTAGCTCATTTCTTCAAGGTGGTGTGCATAAGATTAACATGTGAAGGTATGTGGGGGCTTTTATAGGATTACTAAAAGGTTTAACCTCAAAGGGCCCTGGTTTCAGAGACTGGTCTCCATTCTAGGCCAATCCACCCGCCTCTCTGTCTTTTTTATTTTTTTATTTTATTGTACTTCAGGTGAAGGCTTACAGAACAAATAGTTTCTCATGAAACAGTAGTACACATGTTCTTTTATGACATTGGTTAACAACCTCACAACATATTAACCCTCTAAATTCTCAACCTTTTTTTTTTTTGGTGAAAATACACATAGCCAAAGATACACCGTTTCAAAAATTTCTACATACACAGTTCAGTGACATTGACTACGCTCTTCCAATTGTGCTGTTATTCTCACTTAAGATGAAGGCTTACAGAACAAAATAGTTTCTCATTTAACAGTTACTACAAATGTTGCCCTATGACAATGGTTAACAATCTCACAACACATCAACAATATCCTTACTAAATCTTGTGTTCCCTATCACCAGCTTCCTTGTCCCCTCCTGCCTTCTGGCCCTTGTCACTGGACTCCTGTACCTCGTTAGTCTCATTTGGTTTTACAGGGCTGTCCACTCCCAGGCTGAACAGTGAACCTCGGAGGTAACTTTACCACTGAGCTAAAAGGGTGTCTGGGGGCCATACTCTCAAGGTTTCTCCAGTCTCCTTTAGGCCAGTAAATCTGGTCTTTTTTTTGTGAGTTAGAATTATGCTCTACATCCTTCTCCAGCTCTGTCCAGAACCTTCTGTTGTGATCCTGGTCAGAGCAGTCAGTGGTGGTAGGTAGCCGGGCACCATCTAGCTGCACTGGACTCAGTCCGGTGGAGGCCTTGGTAGCTGTGGACAATTAGTCCTTTGGACTGATCTTTTCCTTGTATCCTGTTCTCTTCATTCTCCCTTGCTCCCGAAGGGATGAGACCAGTGGAGTATCTTAGATGGCCGCTCACAGCCGCCTCTCTGTCTTTTGGAGTCTGGATGATAAGATTAGTCAAGACTGCCCAGTAGTCAAACCTCCCTGCCTTGAGCTACTCTCATCAACCGGCCTTGTTGTTAAGACTGAAAAGAGAAATGACCCAGGCTGCCCAGCTTCCTGTTAACCACAGTTCAGTGCCTGAATGACTAGGGGCCTCCCGCTCTGGTCACTTGGCTCTACTCTAATTACAGTAACTTGGTTTCTCAAGGATGCTCATCCTGTTAGACACCTATTCGTTTTCTTCAGAGGAGATCAATACATAAATGGCTTTTAGAGTAGCAACTTTCCTGAGGGCAGAGATCAAAGTCTTCTATCAAGAGGGGTGTCGGGTTTGTGGCTCTGACAACGGTACACCTTTGAGCTGCCTCTCCTTTTAGGTTAGAGTTCTTCCAGGAAGAGAGATTTATTTTTGTCATGCATCATTCCTCAACCTGACTTGGATGTGGTGCTGAATTAACACTTTGCATCACTAATATGCCTGTTTGGGTAGTATCTCATTTTCTATAGTGGAACATTGGATTCTGTTATGTCCTGTCTATTTATGATCGATTTCACTTATTTACTTATGCTAGATGTTAGAACTCCCTTAAAATTATAGTAGAAGGAATTTTCAATATAGAAAATGAATGCCAGGAAAAAATTCAGGTAGGAATTGACCACTATGAAGAAAAAGAAATTAAAACTTGTAAGACAAACCTTCCCAGATTCATGCAACATAATTTTGGGAACCATGCCAAATTAATGCTGCCGTGGGATACCCAGGGTTAAGCTTTTATTCCATCATGAATCAGGTTTTAATTCTAATTCATCCTAGTTTGGGACACATTATTGGCATCAATTTGACAGAGAGAAACAATTAGGTTACTAAAAATATCATGAAATTGATTTGGCACCTAGGAATAGAGGGTAATTGGAAACCACCTAAAGGATGCTATAGGATCAATTTCCTTCTTCGGGAAGATCATGCCTTTGAAGGAAAACTTATCTGGCTCCATACTGATCACCTAAAGGGAGAGTTAAATTGACATATTTTGTTATTATGATTTCAAAGGTGTCAAAGTAAGTCATTCTTGTAAATGAGGGTTGTTTATACACTTTAAACATCTGTTCAGCCAGCAGAAAGTGCTACATGGGTCCTGGGAAGGCAGGGCCATTCGGCTCTCACCACGGTGAGCTAGCCATCAGCAGAATCCACCACTCCACTCAGAAATCCCTTCTAGTTTAAGGTCATAATTCCTTAGAACTTTTCTCAACCCCAGCTCTCTAAAGGAGGTCACATCTTTCCTTCCTCCAGCTGACCCCAGTAAAGATAACAGTAAACATCAGCAGAATTTCCACTGCAAGCGATTGTAAAAGGGAGAACTCTGGTATGCCGGCTCCTGTTTTGGGCCAGGTGAGGCTGCGGGAATGGAGGTGTGGGTGGGAGATGATAATCACAGAACCAGTTCTCCCAGTGGGCTGCAGCCTGCCATCAGCACCCCCAAGGCCAGTAAAGGCACACATCTTACAGAATGATAAGAAGAAGGATTTTTTTTTTTTTTTTTAAAGAGAAAACAGGTAGGGAGAGTGAAAGAACTAACATTTAGCGCATATGGGAGCTTTGAAAAAATACCATTGCCTAGTCTCCATCCCCCGAGATTCTGGTTTAATTGATTTGGAGAGGGTTCAGGCACGGGTATTTTTAAAATGCCTTAGGTTTGAGCATCAAAATAAATAATGGCAGTACTGAATTGCAAACCCATAAATAAAATAAATATCCATGAGTCCATGGTGATTTTAATAACTAACTAAATAAATAAATAAGTGGGAAAGAAAGGACAGCATTTCCTTACAGAAGAATTCCAGTTATAATAAATGTAGGAAGAATGAGGGGAATAGAAAATCACCATTGGAACAATGCAGTAGTTTTTGCAGACAAGTTATCATCCATGATGAATGCAATGTTAATGGGGAAGAAGATAAGGAGAAACAGATTATTTGCATAATCTTAAGTATCTTATGACATTAAGATATTTATTAATGTCAAAGGGAAAAATAGTAACCTTACAATGAGGAAATCCAGCAGACACCACCTTAACCAAGTGAAAAGTTAACATTGCTAGTAATAAGACATATTGACATCATATGTCCTCTGCTGTAGCCCCGCTGGCACACTGGTTAAGAGCTTGGTTGCTAACCATAAAGGTTGGGAGTTCGAATCCACCAGCCGCTCCTTGGAAACCCTGTGGGACAGTTCTACTTTGTCTCATAGCGTCACTATGAGTCAGAATTGACTTGACAGCAATGGGTTTGGGCCCTCTGCTAGATGCACTGAGAAGCGAATATCACTTCTGTGGTATCCTTCTATACAATACATAACCTTCAGTCTAATAACATGAAAACATCAGATAAATCCAAAGTGAGCATTTCTACAAAATCGCTAACTATAAGGAGACAAGACAACTAAATGCATTGTGAAATGCTGGGTCAGGTCTTGGAGCAGATAAAGGACATTAATATAGTCTGTAGTTTATTAAAAGTATTGTACTGATGTTAATTTTTTAGTTCTGATTACTATACCATGGTTAAGCAACATGTTAGCATTAGGGGGAGCTGGATGTAGAGTACCATATTTTTAAGCACATGACGTGTG